TATCTTACATATATACAATCTGTTAACCGTCTCAGTTGCTTTACTCTTATATGTTTTTGAATTGTACATTTTTTGCTTTAAAAATGATTGAATTATGTTTTTCTTATCTTCCGGTTAAGGTTTTTATGCCTTTAGTAAATCTGTATGCAATAGTTTCAGAATTATCAACAATTTTAAAGTTGTTTAGTGCCGCTAAGCCTAATAATGTTTTTGATGGCGGCCATTGCTTGTTTACATTTGAAACAGCAGAATAGTGGATTTGTTGCCAATCTAGAGAAACTTAGTTTCGCAACAACAAAGATAACGCCTTCATTTATTATTGTCAATTAAATCATTCTTAATCCTTTCTGGAATTTTTTTGAGGAAATAAGTGTTTAAGATTTACTTCGTAAATTTTAATATAGATATTTTGAGTTTTTATGTATTTTTGGCCTTCTCGCGAAGTGAAACTGAATTAATTGAATGAGAAAGTACTCAATCGTCTGTGAAAAACTGTTTTCTGTTTTGTTTTTGTTTGCTTAATTTCTTTTATACATCGTTCTAGCTTTATTATAGTATTTGAATAGAACATGTAGCAACGATTAGATAATTCTTTAAATGATATAAATTTTGTGCATTCTGAGTTATAATGTGAACGAAATATTAAGTGAACCTAGCGCCAGAGTAACAAATAGAGTGAATTTGAAAGAATGCCTTTATTCTTTTGTGGTTTATCTGCTGTCGGCGAAGTAGATTTAATTTAAGTTTAAATTAAATGGAAGAAAAAAATGCGTATAATTTAATATTCCGTACAACGAAGTCATGTGGTGTACACATCAGATTTATTTGCATCTAACTATATTTGGTGTTTTAGGTTTTTCTTTACAATTTTTAATGAAGATGTTTTGAGTTTTTATGTACTTTTGCCTTGCCGCGAAGTGAGAACTTAATTGATTGAATTGATGTTCAACGCACGTTATAGTATGTTCAACATTAGTATCAAGGATTGTTTGAAGAATTCAGCAACGTAGCATGCTTTAGCTGCTTTCAATTCAGGCAGACTCCATATCATGTTAGTTTTAGAAAATATGAAATCGATAATAAAACAAATTCCAAATTTCAAATTTGAGCTCCCACATGCCCATTTTCGCAGTAGGATTACGTCATTCAAAAATGGATGGCTCTAGGTATCGTTGTTTTATCACAATGCGAGAAATACACATATATTTATGCAGATTTTTCATTATTTAATTTCTTTAAATATAATGCAGGGCTCTAGCATTTGGTGGCAACAATTTGAAAAGTGAAACGGACATTTATAGTGAAGCAACGCAAAATCGCAAAGCGAAAACAATAGTCCTTCAGGGACAAAGCCCTTTGGACTAATAAATGAATAAAAATAAATAAATTCAAAATTCAAGCTTCTTGGTGTACGCATTTGGGGAAATGATTACGCGTATTTAAAATTTGGTAGCTCTAGGTGCCGCCTTCTTCCCACAGTTCGAGAAACAAACTTATATATACATACAGAATCTTCATTATTTAACAATATAGTTAAGTTTAAACTGTTTAAACAGTTCTTCGTTTGTTTTTACGGCGATTCTGGGAAATATCTTCTCAGCTAAAGAAATTTGTTCTTTCTTAAAAAATAAAGACTTTTAAGATTTAAAAGTTTCTGTTATATATATATATATATATTTAAAAAAAAAAAAAACTTCTGTCGCTGTCTAAAGTTCGAAAGGATTTCTTGTTAACTTCCCTTACCCTTTACATTTTGATGGAAAAGGACTAGACAAGTCAACTATTCTTTCCAAAACTAGTTCTCTATTTCTATTTACTTGTTTAGTACGTTTTATCGCTGAAACTTTCTACAGAAACTGCTTCATGTAAGGAAAGGCAGTGTTTTCCACCCCCGAAGGGGGGAGGAGAAACAGAATTGTTAATTTAGAAATGGCTTTGCCATCACAAATTTTCCAAAAGGGAAATAAAAATTATTTCATTAACAATATACGCTACTTATTTGCTTCATGTATATTGGTATTGCAGACTAAAGAATTATTAAATAATTATGTATATTGGACTAAAGACTTACTTTTATGTATTGCAGAAATTTTTAACTGTCTCCAAATAGGGAAAGGTTAACGTTCTTTAAATAGAGTTTCTTTTTTTTTTTTTTTTCGGGGGGGGGGGTAAGTCAATTTAAAAAACGGAATATTTTTTAATCTTTAATTTTAAAAATGTAAAATTAAGTTTTGCCAGTTTATTTTAGTGAAATTTACTTCTAGGTTAATTCTCTAAATATTTATCTGATTTATGCGCAGACATAAGTAATTGATAATCAGCATGAAACTACATGAAAATTAAACAATATTTCACTTTGTAATATTTGTTGAATAAACTTATGTTACTGTATAAACAAATTAATTCTAACCAGCATGCTGCAATGACTTATGCAGTTTGATCTTACTAACCGTATGAAATGAATTAAACTCTTGGAAAAAAAGTCCTGATAAAATAGTGCTTCGGTTGAAGGAAATATTTGTTAGAGAACTCTGCGCAAGTAATTGAATAAAATAAATGCACATCTCGTCATGAATAATTTATAGAGATTTAGGTTATTTCGAAGCAGGAGAAATGAAAAATGAGCAACGCCTTCGCCGGGACTCGAACCATGGGCCTCTGGAATACACGTTAAGCATGCTGATCATAACACCCCGAAGGCATGCTAAGAAGGCGGCAGAAATACCTTATATACTCCCCCTTTTAAAGGGTGACTGGAGATTAGGGGACCCAATCGCCAACTCCTGGTTGTGGAGAATCTTCATATACAACCTTTTTTCAACCTTTTTTAGTTCGGATGCCAGTGTAGAGACATTAGGTTATTTCGAAGCAGGAGAGATTAAAATTGAGCAACGCCTTCTCCGGGACTCCAACCGCGGGCCTCTTCAATACGTGCCAAGCGTGCTGACCACTACACTACAAAGACGTACTAAGAAGGCGGGAGAAATACCTTATAGGCTTTCGGAATCAGGGAACACGAGATATCAATTATGCGTGAGCCACATACCTTCCCGTTGCTAGGTGAAAGAACTAATGAAATACATTCCGAAAGTATGGATAGAAAATGCGTTATTTACTTTTACTTTAAAGACGAGTTTGGAGAAGCGCGAAATCCAGTCGATAAAATCTATGCACAGCCGAATTATCATTCATCACAGTTTAGTTCATGCTTCGCTGTATAAGATTTTTATAGTATTTTTTGGAACGAAAAATGTGAAAGAGGAACTGCGTCTTCACCGGCATTTCAAGCGCAGATTTTACAGTTGTTTGTTGGACTTGCTAACCATTTACATCAGGAGAATACGCAAGGGGCATTGCGATAAATGGTTATACATGAAGTCTTAAACACGCATATCTCCATGTAGTGTTAATTAAAATGAAGTAAAAAATTAACATTTTTCTTCCTACCCCATCCTTGCCACTTTTACAGCTGTTATTTAAATATTAAGATTTTATTTTCCGTATCATTAATTTTTTCAGGACTCATACTTAAATTAGTAATCTTACCGTAACAGCTTAGCTTAAAATTATTTCAAGTATTAAACTTAAATCTGATGCTAAGATCAGATTGACGTTTCATTTCAATATTATGATTTTTACCTTTTTATATATTTAACGCTTTGAGTATTGAAATCTTTGAGGTGTAAAATTGATATTAAAAACTTCGATCATAAATCATGCCGTAATGTCTAATTTGGGTACATTCATTAATGTCTGCTGTACAAAATTTGCAAACAGGAGTTTGACAATCAACTTAATCTTAGGAAAAAGGCAAATGAGCGCGCGGTGGTCTCAAATTAGCTTATCAATATTCACGTTTACAAAATAGTAAGTGTTGCCATTCCTTTTTTAATATTCGTTATACTGTTTATATTTGGGATGTAATTTGATGGAAGTATCTAAATGATTTGCTTCGAATATTTTCATCTATAAATTCTTGGTGTTGTAGAAAAGATTCCTAATTTTTGCTGCTTTTTTTTTTTTTTTTTTTTTTTTTTTTTTTTTTTTTTTTCTGGCATCTTTATTCACAAAGTTTGTACGAGTTGTTAACAAACAAAAATACTAATTCAGTACCTGAAAACATTAGAAAATATAAAAATGTTCAATTTAATTATTCTGTGTTTTGAAGCGGTTGATGGCAACGGTTTCTAAAGAAATTTAAAATAGAATCCTAAGTTTTAAATTTTAGTTTTAGGAAACAGGTAAGATGTTATTTTTATACACTTAAAATTAGGAATTTTAAGAATCTAATAATACAGCCTGTAGGAGCTTATAAGGTTTATGATTATGGTATAATTTTATGATTTGCATACTGTTAACTGCTTTGATGTTTGCTTTAAGATATTGTTGCGTTCTACGGGTTCGTGGATGTGGAGTGATTGATGACCAGACTTGATGAAGAATCAAAACACAATTTATTCACCAGTATTACACAGTAGAGTTCCAACGACACGTTTACAGTGGTCGAAAAACTACAATAAACATGCTGAAACAATCAGCAACACAGCCTTCAGGCTACAACGGTCAGGACCAGATTCACGGCAAAGAACTAATGTACAGCTCCCGACTCGGTTCGGTCACTCTCAAGCTTAATCTCTGAACTCTAATATGTTTACTTAACATACTCCTCGATAGTCTTCTACTCCGCGTACAGAGAGGGTATATATAACTTTTGACCTGCCTTCGAGAACATTCTCAGTAAAACCGGCAAGAATTCGTTTTAGAATGTTCTCGCTCCGTCTATAGCATATTGCCAATTTTGTCGCCAAATAGGCGATTTCGCGCCAAATCTGGGGAAACTATCTACGCACTTGGGCATTTCGTAGCAATATTATGAGATGAAGAGCTTAAAGGCATGATTTGACTGATTTAGTTATTGTTTAGTTATTATTTATTGTTATTATTTTCATCTTTAGCAATGACATCTGATCTTTGTTAATATAATTTAGGAAGGCAAAGAGAAAAAAATGGCTATGAAAGAAGAAGGGCGAAAAGAAGAAAAAATATGTATGACGTAATGTGTAGTTGCCGATGGTGGTATTCCAAAAATAGCTATTACGTACTCTCTTATTAAGTAAGCTATTACGTACTCTCTTATTAAGTAAAAAGAAACACTTGAAAAAATTCAATAGTACATTTTATTTTAATTATTTTGGTCCTTCTTTTTCTTGGGGGGGGGGAAGCTATCTTCAATTACTGAAAAAATTATTGTACCTCGATTCCAGGTGGTATTACAAAAAATATTACAAACATTAAAAAAAAAAGATTATGTTTAAAAATATGCATAGGTAGATAAGAAAATGAAAATAAATTGAGATTTCAGCTTTAAACCGCTACAGTCGCACCCAGTCGAACAATGTTTATGCAAGTTTTCGAAAATGAAAGTAATAAAAAGTAAACTGAGAGAGATCATTAAGCAATCAAAAAATTTTAATTCTGCCTGAGAAGTCGAAAAAATTTACTTCTCTCCGGTCGCTCGATGAGAGTAAACATCAGTATTAACACACGCACAAAAAGAAAATTCGGGACAAATCAGGGGGGTGTGGAAAACAAAAGCTGAACGTTGTACAGGACACAGGTACGATTGTTGGTCATTTTAATTTAATGTCTCGTTTTATTCGTTAGAGAATCGGTGTTTACAAGCGTATAATAATGCCAAGAATAACTCTTTTTAATATTATGTTTCTAGATAATAAAACTGTAGAGTACAATTGATGAACGTCTGCCGGAAACTGGAGCAGAAGGAAACTACACAAGAGAAGGGTTAAAGTACCCTTTATTAAATCTTTGAAAACTTACAATGCGTCAACTCGACGCTAACAAACTTCGCCTCTGCTTGGGCGGTAACTGAAAATCAAGTAACTAAACTAAAAATTTGAAGATACACTTTTAGACAAAAAACGACGCACCGAGAAGATATAAAGCAAATTGGACACAAACTGATATGCATACAAGTTTCGACGGAAAATGCAAAATTTTACATTTTGGCTGCCAATGAATGAACGGTTGTCGCTACAACGCATCTGATCTGCGCAACTGGCAGGATATTTAAGAGGAGAAATTACGATTCCAGGTCATAAATTCTTCACGAATTTCATTCCGTGTACTCTGGTAGACAGTAACTATGCCTCGCATACAGGTGCGCGAACGATATGCGCAGATGTCAGAATTTAGAGAGGTCGTGTAGTTGGGCTCAAAGAAGCCGGTTGGTCTTGTCGGGGAATAGCTCGACATTTGAGAAGGAGCAATGTTACTATTAGACGATGTTGGCAGGAATGGGTGAACCAAGGCGCACACAGCGTCAAGAAGGGAGCGGTTGGCCTAGAGAGACGATAGAACGTGAAGACCGAGCAATCGTCAGAGCGGCACTCACAGCCGCAGATGCGTCATTATCATCGATTGTACGTGCAACTAGTGTTTCAGTGACCGCAAGGAGCATTCATAGACGGCTCACAGAAAGGGGTCACGACGCACCTTGCGCAACTACAATTGACCTCTGTACAACGTCAAGCCCGTTTGCAGTGGTGTCGGGCAAATTCTCACTGGAATGTCACTGACTTGAGTAGAATAGTCTTCAGTGATGAATCCCGCTTTGAACCGAGCCCCGATGACCAGCCAAGGTGAGTCTGGAGACGTCCCGGACAGCGGTGTGATGGCAACCTCTTCCGGCAGAAAGGCCGACAACCAGGAATGATGGCCTGGGGTGCCATTTCATTTCATAGTAGGACCCCTTTGGTTGTCATCCGTCGCAACCTTACAGCACAACGGTACGTCAACGTCAACAAAGTTCTGAGGCCCATTGTGTTTCCCTTCATGTCACGCCACCCTGGGCACACAATTCAGCAAGATAATGCTTGTCTCCTCACTGCACATGTTTCTACTGCTTGTCTTAGTGCTTGTCGAACATTACCTTGGCAAGCAAGGTCGCCTGATCTCTCTCCTATTGAACAAGTTTGGAGCATTTTGGGCAGGGCCCTCCAACCAGCTCGGGATGTTGACGATCTAACGCGGCAGTTGGACAGATTTTGGCATGATATCCCTCAGGAGGACATCCACAACCTCTATCAATCGATGCCAAGCCGAGTAACTGCTTGCATAAGAGCTAAAGGTGGACAAACGCGTTACTGACTTTTTCACTTTGTGAAGCTCTATCCCTTCAATAAATCATCCAATTTTTCTCCAACTGTAATCATTTGTTTTTCTGTACATGTACATCACTTCTACCGATTTTCGTCCCATTCGGATAACTCCTTCTTGGTGCGTCTTTTATTTATTTATTTATTTATTTATTTATTTTATTTTTTGGTATTCACAATTGTTTAAGAGTTTTTTGGTATTAACAATTGTCTAATTAATTGTCTAAGAGTGTATTAACAAACGATAGAACTAGACTACAGGGCTCAGCGAGATCACGTAACTTAAACCCCCTTCGAAGCTAGTGACCGCAAATAAATGGAATTAAGCCACTTGAACCAACAATAAGCAAATCTACCTATGGCAGAGGCGGTAGCTAGAGCCTAACTCTCTGTTTCTCCTACCGAAACTTGACTTTTAAATACTTCCTGCAAAGTAGAAATTTGCATTGCTTCACACGCGCTACAATATTTAATTATTCTGGCACTGACAATTAGAGGAATGAAGGCTTATAGGAAAGTTTGAACTTGAACTTTAAATTATTAGTTAAATAAATATAAATCCCTACAAAACATTAAATGAAACAGCGTTATACCGGGTCATTTTATCAACAATAAATAAGATTAGAGAAACAGAACCAAGAAAAAAGAACCATTACTTTAATTACACTTTATTTTTAAAGCTAAAGTTTATAATGATATTCATATATAAGAATACTAATTTCAAATTTTGTGCTTTGGTTTTAGCAAAGGCTGTTACTCTTCTAAAATCTTTTACTTTTCTATTATGTTTTTAAGATTGATTTAAGGAATTATAAAAAAAAAAAAAAAAAAAAAAAAAAAAAAAAAAAAAAAAAAAATCGGTTTTAGAACATTGTAGACGATTTTTATATTTCTTTAAAAAAAATCTTGCAACTAAAGACACCCAAAGTACCTTTTTGCAAAATAGATTATGTTCATCCCCCCTATATAAGACACACGGCAGTATGTTTTCTTTAAACGGGTAAAATCCGAAGTAGATTTTTCGCTTTTTCTGAAATAGTCTTCAAGAATCATTTTATGGAATGACTGCGGAAAAGTCGGCTTTAATTTTGAAAGAGAACGTAATTTAAACCAGATTTATACTGTTACTCTGTTTCAAATGTCGGTAAAGCAAAAGAAAACGTTCTCGGCACATCCCGATGATGATGCTCACCAGAATAAACGTACATTTAGGACATCGCGGAATAGCCGTCTGTCATTCTAAATAAATCATCCGAAGTGCTGCAGTGTCACATCCCAGTATGTCCTCAAGACATCCTCCCTAGGTCCCATTGGCAGAGTACAGGATGTTATGAGAATTTGAGATCCTACTTATTACATTCACAGGACATCCCAGAATATCCCTCTAACCTCCTTAACACATCCTCCCGACTGCTTAGTGTTATATTCCAGTATATCCTCAAGACATCCTCGCTAGGTCCCATTGGCAGAGTATGGAAAGTTACAAGGATTTAAGGTTCTATTTATTACATTCTAAGGACCTTCAACCCAAACCTTTTTTTAAAGGGATAAAGACCTTTATCCCTTTAACCCAAATACATCTTCTTAAGTGTTTAATGCCACTTCCCAGTGTATCCTCAGGACATCCTCGTTAGATCCCATCGGCTGAGTACAGAATGTTACGAGGATTTGGAGTCTTATTATATCCTTAAGGCATCCCGAATATCTTCTTAACCTCCTAAATACACCCTTTCGAGTGTTTAATGTCATAATAATAATAATAATATCATAAATTATAATACCATGGATGATATACACGGTTAAATTAAGATCAGGAATAATTCATGCGTAGAATTAAAAATAAAGCAGCAACGAGAATTAAATAAAGCAGCAACGAGCAATAAACCATAATTAGAGGAAAAGTACTATTAGGAATTTACAATTGTATTTTCAAAAAGTTTAATCTGAAGAATAAGTTAATTTGGCTTTGTAAATTAAATTAGTATTCCAAGGAAAAGAGCAAACGTTTTTGTTTGTATTACATTTGCATTTCGATAAGAGTGAGTGTAAAAGATAAGAAAACTGGCTTTGCACTTGATTTATTTTTACGACTGTGATATTTACAGATTTTAAACAATGTTTATATATTACGGATTACATACAATTAAATTATAAGAAAAAAAAACTCTTGGGAAAAAACAGCTTCTAATCATATGACATCATCTGTTATCATTGCTGTTATTCCCATGTAATTTTTTCTTTCCTAAATTTTCCGCAGCCAACTCTTTTTTTATTCCAGGAATGGGTTGCGATTATAATTATGCATCATTCCGCAATAAACTAATTAAATTCTTCTTTTAGACATGTACTGTTTAATTTGCCCCTATTAATTGGGAGTTTTCTATAATTAACAGTAATACTTTATAACAGGCATTTTAAGTCCACTATTTTGTCCCCAAACCATGACTGATAATCACGGCAACGACTGCTGCGGGGAAAAAAGTCGAATTAAGTAATATTTGTAAAACCTTAAGCTGTAAATGTCTAACACATACATGCTCAAACCGCAACTACATGTTGCCCCACGAACTTAAATATGCGTTCTAGTACGAAACAAAACTGTAATCAGTATTGTGAATTTTTTTAGATAAGTAAAATAAATATGTATTTTACGTTTACAATGTTTATAAAAAATTCCTATAGACGACATTTTATTAATCGATTTTTTAGACAATTTTTGCTTGCTGTCAGTTTGGCTCGAAAGAAAGATTAAAAATGACATAGAGTGCAATGGTCCAATGATTTAAGTTACTAGCCAAAATAAATTCTTTTCTCCCTAAAATTATCAAAAATTGCCTTTGGGGTCAAAAATGTTTATTGCAGAAAGATTTTTATTTTGAACCTTTATTGTCGAAAAGATATAACTATAAGATACTTCCAGTAGATATTACTTCTACTGAACTATAAGATACTTTCATCGTTCCCCCCCCCCGCTGTTTTTCATAGACAAGTCAGCATATGTTTGGATTTTGGTGCTTTTCCGCGAACCTGGAAGAATAGTCCAAGAAAACGACTTTCAGTGTTTTTTACATGTGAATAATCTTAGATGCATAAGTCTTCTTTCTTTCTTGGGTAAATATTTTGAAAAACCTGAATAGAATTACTTATTATCCACAAAAGGAAAATCTTCTTAGTGCTAATAATTATGGATTTACTGTTCAAAAATGCACTGAGAAAGCACTTTTGCGTCTAAGCAGCACTGTACAACACAAAGTAGATTTAACTTGCAACAGATTCGAAGCGTTGTATTCGGAACTTCTTCAATGGAAATTAATTCTCGCTCCCATATACTGAACTGAGTATAGAGTACAATTGTTTTATTCAGCCATCTCTTTTTCCTAATCGGAAAAATCATTCCCCAGTATTTTCCATAATTACAGCTAAAACGGATCTAGCGTTTCCTCTTCCTCTATCAACTTCAGGAACCTCAGAATAAGCTTCAGATGCCTCAGAATAAGTTTTTCCAGATAATAATTCTGTTTTCGTAGCTTGAATTTCCAAATATTCTTTAGCTCCTTGTCCTTCTTTCTCGATATTTATTTTATTTGGACACAAGCTACAGATTTTCTGTTCAAGTTTATCTTCCATGTAACAAACATCTGAACATAAAACATGGGTCGGCTGCTTACATTTACATCAAAATAAGCTATGTTAATAATTTTTTGAACACACGACACAGTTTTACAATGTTATTCAGGTTGTGTATCTTCATAACGCTCGAAAGGCACTTCTGTTAAGGCATTTTCAAACTGTTGTTCATCCTCTACTGCATCCAACACTTCTCTTGGAATAGGAGCTGTGTCTAGTCCAACTCTAGAAGCACAGCCAAACATAACCTCCAAAAGCGTTCTCTGTGTACTAGAATGAAGTGCCCTGTTTTTAATAAATTGAATAAATTTAACTCCATGGCTCCATGAAGTAGATTGGTTGTCTTGCATCCAAGCCCTCTCGACGCTACCTTGACTCTGACTATGTCTGGGTTTACCATGTACGATCTTAAGTTCCGGCCAAGTTATTTTCAAGTCGTCTATAAGTTTACTGCAGAAATCCCTTCCACTGTCGGATTGTAGTACACGTGGGGCACCAAACAATAAAAATATATTGAGAAAATGCATTGCGTTCTCTTCTGCTCTTTTTGTTTGGAGAGGTCTTAAAATCACAAACTTAGTAAAATGATCCTGGTAAACTAAAATAAATTTATAGTTTCCATCAGATTGAGACTGAAAATCTATGAGATCTACGTGACATCTTGAATTCAGACGTGGAAACACCATGGGCTTAATCACAATGCCTTTCTTTCTCATATTTCGTTTTTGTTGACAAGATTCACAAACACTCAAAAACAGCTTTATGTCATTCTGAGTAATGTTTTTATACCGACGATTCAGTTGTTTTATTATGTGGTCTCTACCACCATGTCCAATAGAAACGTGTGTTTCATATATAATATCAAAGAGCATGTCACTTGAGCAATAAAATATCACATCAGGTTTCGCATCAGTTACTGGCACAATTAACATTTCTACTCCTTGAACTTCAAGAATATCATAGTAACCAATAGTCCGGTGCTACTTTTTTCTGTGCTGTTTTAGCACTTTTTTACTTCTGCTATCTGTTATGCTAAAGTTAATAATTTTTCACGAGTAAGTGCAGCACTGTTTTCCTTTGTCCATGCTTATTTAATGAAGATTCAAATCTCTTGCATTAAATCTTTCTTATTTACAGGTTGGTCTCGCATTCCTGCTGAAGTCATTGCTTCAAAACAGGTTGCAAAAATATTTGTTAATAATCAAAAATGTAAAATGCTAACATAAATACTACACCGTCTAAATTCTACGTCTAAAAGCAACAGAATGAAGCGTACACACAACTGGTTCAAAACTAACTAAAAGCAGCTAAAACCGGTTCAAGAGAACTTTCGAGTGTCGTGTTTCATACTTTAACGATCAAGTAATCGTTATTCTATAGAATACCAAGTTAAATCGTAGAATTCAATAATTTTATATACTTTAACTGACTTGTCTAGTTATTTCATGAAATACTTAGTTATTCTACGAAATAACGGATTCGACACTTTAAAGGTAACATATATATTATTTTATTATTATACAAAAATTGTAATTATATATATTATTTATTATTATTATACAAAAATTGTAATTATATATATTTATTATTAAAAAATTGTAATTATATATTATTATTATTATTGTATTATATATTTTATTATTATAAAAAAATGTTATTATATATGTACAAAAAAATGTTATTTGCCCTGAAGAACTATTAATTTCGTTTTGGCATTTTACATTGAAAACTATAAACGACGTATTACTTTTCAAATTGTTGCCACCAAATACACTCATGTCCATAAATTAAGGATAATTCGGAGTCACGCGGAAATCGAACTCTAAAATAAATATATCACCTGTAAAATCACTACACACATCTTCAAAATCATATGCAAATTTCAGGAAGTAACCAGATGACACCGATGGTACGTCACAATGACGAGAGTGTAAGAGAGTGATAGGCAAAGAAGTAAAATTGTTCGTAGGCGCTTTATAAACATTTCAGTGCAATAACCGAATAGTTATGACACAAAGGACGCATTTGGATGATTTTTTACGTAGTAGAATTATCGGCCGAGTGGAATGTGGGCGTACCCAACTCGAAGTATCAAACGAACTTGGAATTGCCCAGAGTGTCTCCAGGCTTTGGCAACGATTCCAAGATGATGGTAATTTGAGTAGACGTTACAGCACAGGTCGCCCCAGAGTTACAACGCCGAATGAGGACCGGTATTTGGCAGTTTCTTTTGGCAGTTACTGCCAAAAGAAACAGGCAGAGCACAGCCTCAGACCTGTCTTCTCAGCTCTCTTCAGCCACTGGTACGACAATTTCAAGGCAGACCGTGTACAGACGCCTAGTGCAGATTGGTCTATATGCTCGTAGACCTGTCAGATGCGTTCCACTTACTGCAACTCACTGTCGCCTGCGGTTAGCCTGGAGTAGAGAGCATGCATTGTGGACACCGCAACAGTGGGCTTGTGTGATGTTTTCCGACGAGTCCAGGTTTAGCTTGCAGTCTGATTCTCGCCGGACTTTCACATGGAGATCTCCAGGTACCCGTTACATCAAGAAAACATCATTGAACGACACGGTTACGGTGGTGCAGGAGTGCTCGTTTGGGGTGGAATTATTCTGGGTTCCAGAACTGACCTGCATGTTCAAATTAGAACCATGACAAGCCAAATCTATCGGGACGTCATTGTGGAACAACATGTACGTTTGTTTCGGGGCGCCATGGGCGCACAATTTGTGTTTATGAATGACAACGCTCGTCCTCACCGTGCAAACATCGTAAGCGAATGCCTTCAATCGGAGGATATCACCCGTATGGACTGGCCAGCATTCTCACCGGACTTGAATCCAGTAGAACACGTGTGGGACATGCTTGGCCAACGAGTTGCAGCCCGTCAACCTCCTCCTACATGTCTACCGGAACTTCGGAGAGCATTGCTTTTTGAGTGGTGTAATATCCCCCAAGATCAGATCGATAATTTGATACTCAGCAGGCCTAGGCGTTGTATGGACTGTATTGCATCGTCTGGGAGACATACAATGTTTAACAATCATACCAACCATGTAATATTGTTTTTTTGTAAATAGGTTTTTTTTTTTTTTTTTTTAATTTGCTCCAGGGAGAAAAAATCGCTAATTTTTTTTTATAATATCAAACATATAGCATCTTTTTGTTCTCTTTACCTTTAGTTTAATAAATAAGCTTTACAAATAAGTCAAATTTCTTTTGCTTCTAACTCTTCCTTTGCCTCATTTTGCATTATCCTTAATTTATGGACGTGAGTGTAGTATCGCGGTGTATTATATTTAAAGAATTTAAATAATGAAGAAGCTGCATGAATAAATGTTTGTTTCCCGCATTGGGATAAAACAACGGTATCTATAGCCATCAAAATTTGAAAAGCGTAATCTTCCATAGAATATGGCATGTGGAAGCCCTAATTTTAATTTTAAATTTGCTTTATTATCGATTTCCTATTTTGTAACACTTCAACGAATTTTTGATTGAAAAACTAAACGATTTCAAAGGGAGCAATGGCAACAAAATACTTTTTTTTTAACTCCAGCGCGCGAGACTTTGTATCGGAAATTCTAAAGATATGCTCATTTTAAAATTATTTTGCGACATTGCTGTTGAACTGAATTTAATGGTTTGAGTACGTAGAACATGATATTTAATAAAAAAAAAGGTAACACACAAAACTTTAAAAAAGCGCTCTTTTGGACGTAATTTAAAATCTGAAACCTTTCGGATTTATATATATATATATATATATAAAACTGTATGTCAATGAATTATTTGCAGAATAATTTTATATTAACCACAGAAACATACTTATTAGATTTTTATCTATTTATAAAGCGATAAAATATGTGTTTCTTCTTTCATGTACTCCAAAAAAGTGCTTTATTATGAATTTACTTATCAACAATGTGTTTTATATTTGATGCTATGTACGAAGTATTCGATTTATTTTCTTCTTTTGTGTCACAGGTTGAAGAAGAGTTTATTACGTTCTAATAGCTTGGAAAATCTTTGCTGCGTGGATAGAAGGTTATGACACTACAGACAGACGTAGCCGTAGATTCACAAAATTTTATTATTGGATAAATCTCTTGAGACGCATTCACGTGTCATCATGAAAGCAATTTTCACTCTGTCTTTATAATATTCTTTGAAGTTGACGTCGAGTTGACGCATGCGCGTAAGACTTTTACGGCTGCGAATGTGCGCATGCGCGTAATACGTTTACGGCTGCGAATGTGCGCATGCGCGTAATACGTTTACGCTTGCGCGTTTAATGTATAACGGACGTTATAAGCTAAGCTAAAATTATCTAATTCAGTTAATGTTGCAGATTGCGTTGTTCCTTAATCTTCGAATTGGATCCGGCTTATTATTTTTTGCAGACTGTTAGAGCAATTTTATAAAAGTAAGCTTGAACTTTCGATTATGTCAAATAGAATTTCCGATATATATTTACTAATATGTAAAGGATCTACAAAGCGAAAGTATGTTTAGAAGTCCATTAAACAAAAAGTGGAATTGCTGCAAAAAATGGATAAAGGCATATCCTACGTTTTTCAAACCATTCCGAAATCTGTTTATCAATTTCACGCGACTCTGCGGCCCGGAGGGGGGGAAACGCCGAAACGCCACGGCACTCAATGAATTGGAAGTTAATCTGTCAGCGCTATCCTTATCTTCAGGGCAGATGTTTTTATTTTATTTCGCTTATAATTCCTTACTAAATGTAGTATTTCATCTCGATGTACTCCGTCTTTGATATGATTTAAATCAAATCCCTCGTCATTATAATTTGCTTCCGATAAAGAAGAAAGTGATACAGAGGTTATTGAAAACGAAAAAATTTCGATTGACAAATTAGTCGGTATTCTCGACACAGCAATTATAGGACTTTAACAGCGGAACTTTGTAACTGAAGAAGAAATTATGTCTGTTTATAGAATTAAAGAGAAAGTATTATCACATAAAACGAAGCAACTTAAACAACTTACATTGAAAGAAATGTTTAATAAAGTAAATTAAATAAATATTAAGCTTTTTTTTTGTAAATTTTGATACCCTTTAGATCATAATTGTTCTTTATTACATAAATTACGGCTTCATATTTTTAATTTTATAATTTCTGCATGCCATTTTACCAGATTTAAACTGATGATCTATAATCCGGAATTGCCGAAGTCCCGACGAGTCCGGATTAACGACTTTTGACTGTATATTCCAAGCGTAATGATAAACGTGGTTCTATTTATGTGTTAACTATCTGTTTTGTTCGTGTGTTTATAAAGTGTTTGTGCTGTTAAATGTCTATTATATGAAATGCCCACATTAAGTTCACGTCTACGAGAAGTAGTAAATATATATATCCAGGACCCACTCAAGTATGTATGACAATACGCATTTGGGCAATTCCATTATCAGCAAGCCGTTTTTTTTCACTTTATTTCCCATATGTGTAACTACGGACTTTTTTCTCTTTTCTAAAGTTTTATTTCAGTGGCATGGCAATGATTCAGAAAACCGTAACCAAAGACGTAAACAGTATTCTAATAGATAATTCTATGAAGAAATCAAGCAGCAGTATGCACCTTGCAAGCATTACGTGGTCTCGCAAGGACTTTTGGTGTTAATGGCTGCAAAAGAAGAATGCTATTCTCTTCAAATTTTGTTCTTATACAAATTTATACAAACTTAGTCTTAAACTAGGACTTAACTAGGACTGTTGTTGTTGACGGCTACAAAGGAAGAATATTGTTCTCTTCAAATTTTGTTCTTATACAAACTTAGTCTTAAACAAACCTAGTCTTAAACTCGGACTTAACTAGGACGGTTGTTGTTGATGGCTACAAGGGAAGAATGTTGTTCTCTTCAAATTTTGTTCATATACAAACTTAGTCTTAAACTAGGCTG